ACACTATCTATAACTTTTTATTAGAATTTATCATTAACACACGTATAGAAGTATGACGATATCAATTTTGTAAAATATTATAAAAGTCGTTTTTATCATTCCATAGACAATAAATTAATAAATATTTATGCATATTAATTAATTAAATATGCAGGATGTACATTCCATGCATGATATAATTTATTAGAATTTGGAAGCACATGCCATATATTAATAAATATCAATTGTCAATTCAATTATCCATCAACATTAATTATCAATCAACATAATTTCCGCGTTCTAACATTAATCGTCTTGATTTACCTTAGCCATACATTCCTTTTCATTCAAAAAGTTCAACGGCTGTATTATCACAATGTCGATATATGTGTGTCTGTGTGTTAATATTCATATTTTTATATTGTTGATGAGACAAATAAAATTGTGATTATTTTTGACAATTTCTTATTTAAGAAAAGAATCGTAGCCAGTGAGTAGAGGAAAAAGATAAAACAGAAAAGATAAAAAAGATAATGTAACAATAATAGAGATCTAGAGAGAATCTAATTTTCTTCGATCTTACATAGTAATTTATATAAAAAAGTTGATTCAGGATCAGACTTAACGTGATAATAATTGCTTGTAAGTTGATAGTGTAAATCTATCTTACTGTCAATCTGTCAAATAATATATTAGTTACATGGACTTATTAATGATTATGTTAAAAAATTTAATTAGATGAGGATATAGAATTATAAAAATTTCAAGGCACAATATATATATATATATATATATATATATATATATATAAAATATTGTTTTGAAGTCAAACACAAGACTGTTATTTTACTCGACATTATATATTTCAAATACGCATGGTGTGGCTTAAGAAAAACCCCTCCACATCCATTTCATATGTAAAAGTTGTGGCAGCTGAGTGGGACAACAGTGGCCGCTAAATCAATGGTCGGCGGTAGGTGTTTGACGAAATGCCCCACCGAAAATCGGAGAAACAAAAAGTGTTCTCTTTTTCCCGTGACACAATCCATGAGCAAGCCTGCACCAAAGGGGAGCCCTGCGACCACAAACAGACAGCTTCTTCAACCCCCAAAAACAGAAAAAAGAAACAACACGTTTATGGGGAAATGCCTATGCACCGTGACGAATTGGATGATGCAAACTTCTACTACTACTCCTACTACTTTTTATATTGTTTCAATCCTTTTCGAGAAATTCTCCAGGTAATTTATAAAAGAAAAATCATATTATATGTTTACATTAATTAATGCATACCTTTTACTACTATAATATTACAATTATATTAATTATTTAATAAAACCCAATCCTTTATCTGGTGTGTCATTGTTTAAGAACTAATCACCAAATCTCCTTGTCATTGTCTCCTAATCAAACATCATCTCATTATTTTTTTTTTTGAATTCCTTATAAAAGAAATCCATACTTTGGAATTCACAAAACTTTTATTAAGGCTAACATCAGTATATAAAATGATAATTTCTTTGACGACAACTATAAACAATTTATTCTTTTTAATTTGAACAGAGAATCACAGTTAGTGGTTGAGTGGCCGTTGGCATAGAAAGTAAAAGAATGACAAGTGAAGAAGGAAAATTTGGTCCTACATCTCGATCTTGATTGAAAGATTTTATAGTGATCCTTAGTATTAATTTCACACGTAAGATCATGATGATTATTCGTAAGTTGATAGGATAAATGTACCTGATTGATGTGATCAACTGTCGATTGATTTTAGCTCTGACAAAGATTATGTCGGTAATAATTTCCCTGAAAAGTACAAAATTACCAGAGGTTTTATTATCCAAATATGCTCTTTCAAGGTCTTAATTGCGAAGATAATTCTCTAAAGTCTTGGTATACGGAGATTATATAACAGTTTTTTAATAATATTTTAAATTTATATTGGAACTCAATTAATTAACTTGTGGCCTATCTATTTAATATTTTGAATGGGGGCATGCAAGCAATTAGAGGAGTGGCCACCCTTGCTCTCTCCACTTCCATTGGATAAACTTATAAATCCAAACCAACTTTCCATTGAGTTCCAAGGATAACTAAAAGAAACTAGAAAAATAAACATTAATCCTACCTACAAACTTCACTCGAGGCTTGGGTAGCAGTAGTGGTGGACACTTTCTTAACATTTTAAAATTACCGAAAGTGTGTGCCTTTCTTGGGGTCGGTCAAATATTATTACTATATTATATACATTGAACCCTCCAACTAACTTAATTAGGCCCCCCACTTTGATGATAACGTTACACAAACTCTCAGTACTACATATATTTCACTTAAAATATCATGGATATATTGTTTACTTTTCACTTTAATATATAATATGGTAACATAGGCAGTGAAGAAACCTTTGGAAACCTGACAGCAAAAACAATTGAAGAATGAAATCAAACGAATTAATTTACAGTTAATGTTTAATATTATACCAGCATGTACTTGCAGTAGATGCTTGCTATGCTGCAAAGGTTAATTAATTAGATTATATATGAACTACATTTATGTGTATAGTACTGTATTAGAAATGAAATTTAACAGCAGGGACAAAAGTATCATGATATATATATAAGCTTACCTTAGCCCCAAGTGGCAATCTTCAATTGAAAATGAAAGAATTCTCATCTGATATATCTGTGTCCAGCTGAAAACGAAAATATAATTTGTGTAAAAAAATCAAGCAGAAAAGGAATCTCATCATGCAAACCCATAACTATACATACACACACATACATATATATATATATATATATATATGCATGTGAAATGAAAGAAAAAGAAAGAAGAAAGATGATGGCAAGCAGACAGAAGCTTTTATACTAAAAAAAGCAAATGATGCACATGTGATAAGAAAGTGAAGAGGAAAAAGGAAAACCATTACTATGATGAGTTGCATGTCAAAACTGAAACATATAATAACCCCTTTTTTTTAAAAAATAATAATAATGCTTGCAATATGGTAACCATGTTTTATGTTTATTTGGTCTTTCTGTTCATGCGCTTGAAAAGCTAAAACTACCATTGAGCTCCTGGTTTCTGCTTGCGAGGAATAAAAGTAGACAAGTGGTTGTAAAGTGTTCAAATGCAAATGCTGCAAAACTGATGCGGTTGTTTATGCATGTACCATTAACCCAAAATAGAAATTAACATCGTTATTCATTGGGCCAAAACCTTTGGTTAGCGTGCCTCAGCACATGCTCGGCAAAAATCAGTATACATGCTTGTTTGAATCCACTCATCCACCCACATTCATTACACTGGACAGTTAAAATATCACAATCTTAGAAGTAAATTCGTTCTAATTGTTGTAATAGTTTAACTGCATGTCATCCCCGAGATTAAAAAGAAAAAACACAAACAAGTGAGACTATCAACAAATCTAACACTGATGAAGTACATATTAAGGTAATTAATAACCAGGAATCCTAATGTTATATATTAACAAGAAATGATAACTGACAAACAGATTAAATTTCATTGAATTTGCTTTTTTCCATAGCAAAGAGAAGTTATACCTTCGTGTGCAACAATGGTATGACGCCAGAAGGCAGAGGTTGCTAGCATATTACTATGTGCCATATCTTCCACTTCCAGGGAGCCAAGTCCTTTTGGGCCAAAAGCAGATTTGACAGCAGCTACGAGGGGATTAACTTTTAATATAAATAAAAGCAATGGAAACTGAAAAACACTGAAAATTTGAAGATAATAATAGAAAGATGTTAAAAAAATTATAGAGAAAAATACATCATAATCATATTTTTTTTATTCAAAGCCCATGCTAAAGTCTAATACATAAACGGGTATATAAAGTTCAACCTCTAAATGAATTTTAACAACTGTCTCGTCTCATTTATATTCCTAAACTCTTCATTCTAGCATTCTCCCACCTCCTTCCATACAAACATGGGTATCAATACTCTCTTACTCAAATCGTTTACTTTTTCCTGGTATTCACAGGATATAGATATCCATTACTCAAATCGTTTACTTTTTCCTGGTACTCACAGGATATAGATACCATATAATGGATATCAATACCATGCATAACCTGTAAATAAGTATTTTAGGCTAGGAAATACCTTAAATCCCTCTTTAAACCCCTATTTAAGAGCCCTACTCTATTCCTAAACTATTGAAGGTAATGAAGGTTCATTTTACCCCTTAAACAACAACCAATATCATAAATTTGCCCTTATTAACCACTACTTATGCTTGCACTCAATCAATCATCATATATCAACATAACATTCATTCATAGAAATCATATTTAAGACATTCACGCTATATCACAAAGTTAGAATTACATTACCTTAATCAAATTAAATCCCACCATCTTTCCCTCACTAAGTTCAATCTAATACAATTGAGTCTTACACTTACGATTATAATTCATACATCATCTCAAACGAAGTTCTTTAAATGTTCAACTGAAAACTGTTATTGTAGGCGATTTCTACCAAAAAAATAATATGCTCATCCTAATGTTAGGTATAATTTTGACAAAAAAATAATAGTTGGATTATTAAAACAGAACAAAAGTTAGAATACTAAATGTGTAGTTTGCCATAGAAACTAATATATATATATATATATATGATTTTGACAAAAAAAATAATAGTTGGATTATTAAAACGGAACAAAAGTTAGAATACTAAATGTGTAGTTTACCATATAAACTAATATATATATATATGTGTGTGTGTTACTATTTGAAGCATTATAGGGTGTATAGACTCTATACATTGATAGAAATTTTGTTGATGTTAACACCTCATTATTAAGCAACCTTATAATTTTTCTCAAGCAGTCAACTAGTTGATCGAGTAGTAGGACATGCAAAGAAAGTACATGGAAATCGTGGGAGATATTTGTGATTGTGGTCGGTCAATTATTTGCCTACTCCTTTCTATAAAAGCCCTTTCATCTAGTCCTTAACCAATACCCTTTTTCCCATTATTTCATCGGCAAATCTAATGGAAAATCCATTGAAAACCCACAAATATGGCAAGAGCTATGATAGTCACAAGGCAAAAGGCATGTCCTCCTTTGCTTTCCTTCTTTCCATTGTGATCATCTACGTCTCTATCTTCTACATCTTTAGCCTTTCTCCTTCCACTCTTTTCAGTAATCCCAAGTTCTGGTTCGCCATTTACAACACTCTCATCCTCATCATCGCAGCCGATTACAGCGCTTTCGCTTCCTCCAACAATCTGAAACCCGACCTTTACGAGGAATATGTGTTGCATGGCCAAGCAAGGAGGACACATATTACTGCTGTGCCTGTGACTGTTCCTTCATTTGTCGAAGAAAGCAGTCCCAAAGAAGAAGAAGACGTAGGTGATCAAAAGAAAAATGAAATCCCAGTAAGAATATTGGATGATAAATTGCAACAAAAAGAACAACGTCCCATGAAACTTGATGATGAAGCTTGCGATCATCAGACAATTAAACCCCGAACTATGAGAAGAAGCAAGTCTTATAAAGTGAAACGTGTTGCATGTCATGGAAGGGAGAATAATTTGCAGACATCGAAGACTGATGAAGAGAAAGCGTCCAGAGAAGAAGATCAAAACGAGTTCTCGACCATGTCGGATGAGGAACTCAACAGGAGAGTTGAAGAGTTTATTCGAAAGTTCAACAGGCAGATTAGGCTTCAAGGTGTTGGAAACCGCCAAGTTTTACAATACGAATACGAGTAGATGAATTAGGAAGGAGATACTGTAAATCAAGTCTATATTTAAATCTAATAAAAGTTAAATTTTATTTGTGTCACCTTATACAAACATTTTGTGTGGTTAATATACATGTGTTCATCCTCAAAATATTTTTAAATTTATCACTGTCTTAAGGTTCATTATGCACTAATGTGATTTAGTAAATTCATGCCTTATATGACTCTCTTTTTAGTATTATGGAGTGATTTTGAATAATTTGAGTGTTTGATGAAGTGCTAAATTGATTCTGTTGGGCAAAGCATCAAATTGTGTTTTATTTTTCCTTCAAATCATTGAGCCAAAATTTAAGATATATATATATAAAGTAAATATAAAGTAATATTTGTATAAAGAATTTTAAATGTTTAACAATGAAAATTTATATCTCTACAAAAATGATCTTAACACAAAACTTCAAAAAATAATAAAAAAAATATTCATCATTAATATCACATAATTTATACACAGATATGTAACTTTTAATAAAAGATTTGGTCTTAATCAAATATAAGTTGTGCTTTTTTTTTTTGGGTGGTGGGGAGGGGGGGGGGGGGGCTTTATCCTCCAATTTTGTTGTCTTCCCTTAGAAAGTAAACAAGTTGTTGGGAATGGGTTTGGATTGTAATGAACTTCAAAACTTCTCTTTTTCATTGAGCCCTACTCATGACTTGTATCTATTCAATTAAATGGATATTGCACATGGCATAGACCTAATAATTTCACCATTATAATTAAGTTTGTTACGCTGTTGCTATAATTCACAGTCAACATCTCTACAACAATTAGTATCAAAAGATTATTATTTTTCTATTTCTAAAAAAACTATTTAGTATTATTCATTTATTTTTTAATAATTTAATATTATTATAAGATAATATATGTTCAAAAAAATTATATAATCTATTGATATTATATATACATCACACAAACATAAACTTAAACTAAAATCTTATAAAAATAATATTTTTTTTACAATTGAAACCGGTTAATAACTTCTTTGAATGAAAGAAAACGCGTACTTTACATTTAGCATTATATCAAAATTAGTCTATAAATGTTTATCAAAATAGTAATTTTGGCTCATTTTTTTTCAAAACATTTCGGTCTTTAACAGTTCATTTTAAAACCAAAATGCCCTTAGCACTTGACTGAATAGCCACTTTGATCTTTATTTTATATTTCTAAAATATTTTAGCTCTCAACGTTTCATTTTAAGGTAAAAGACTCATATTTTGACTCCAAAATGAAACGTTAAGGTCAAAATACTTTAAAAGAAAAATAATAATCAAAGTGACTATTCAATCGAACATTAAAAGTATTTTTTGACATTATCTCTTTACATTTTATACAATAAAACTTTAATTACATTCTAAAATTATATTTATTTTATTGACATAAAATAATATTATTTTATAATTAAAGGAAAAAAATAGTGACCATCTCAATCTTTCATAATCATTCCCATGAAGATTCGAAGTGTGGCTTAACCTCTTCTAAATTCAGGAGTTTCCAGTCCTAAATATATTTGGGAGAAGATCCGATCGAAAAGAAACAGAGTTCACTGGCACAAACTCATTTGGTTCCCCCTCCGCATATCGAAGCATAGTATCATTTCTTGGATGGTGGTTCTAGATCATCTACCCACCAAAGAACGGTTGCAAAGGTTTGATATTGTCACAAATGATCACTGTATTTTCTGCTATGAAGGAAGCGAAACGAGAAATCACCTATTTGCAGAATGCAACGTAACTTCTTCAATCTGGAATTACATTCTACACCTTTCAGGCATTCGAAAACCTCAATTAACTTGGACCAATTTTATGGTTTGGGCTACAGTGAAATGGAAGGGTAAATCTCTAATTTATGTTATTCTCAAATTGTCTTGGTGTGCATTCCTTTACACCGTTTGGGAGGAAAGGAATCGAAGGATATTCAGAGGCAAAAGCAGATCAATGGAGATTATTTTTGTTATTAAGCAGACTATAGGTTTACATTTAAGCAATAGAAATATCAATAGATTAGATATCAATAATTTATTTCTTTGTAATCAATGGGGTATAATATGATTTTTTATGTATAGGTTTCCCCTTGTTCTGTTTCATTTACACTTTGTAGCATGTTTCTGTTTTGTTTTGGATATAAAATTTTGCTTATAAAAAAAAGTATAGTGATTGATAACTTGCCACGTGTATCATTGTTGTCTCCATCAAGATTTAGAATTTTCGATCGTGCAAACTGCAGTCTCTATTGACCTCCACCGCCACAATTAACGATTCACCACCTGCCAATAATGTTTCAACACGTACCTAAAATGTTCATGGCCATGCACGCATGCGGCATCGGTTCAATGAATCAATTTTCTATTATAGACCAATGAATAATTTTATCAAAAGATTGATTGGTGACACTTGATAAACTTATCTATCATAGACCAATGAATAATTTTATACTACAAGATAAATTTTTAAGAAAAAAATAAATTTTTAAATTTCAAGATATGAAAATATATTATTAATAAAAAATAAAAAAATATGTAAAATATAATAATAATTTTAATTCAAGCCATCCAGTAGCGGATCCAAAAATTTAAGAATTGATTCCAAAATTTTAATTTTTTCTTAAAAATAATGGATATGCAAAAATTGTAATTTTTTTTCTTTTTTCCTTAACACATAAACTAAATTTAATCACTTTTTCAAAATAATGGGATGCATGTCATCCATCCTAATCAATCGACTTATTTATTTTATGGTAGTTTGTATGTTAATTTAGATATAATTTAATGAATTAAAAAATTAAAAGTCATTTGGTTTTAAAAAAAAACAAAATGAATTTGCATTTTCTTAAAAATAAAAACACTGAAGAAAACATAGTTGGTTAAATTTTTTGAAATATTTTAAAATAAAAATATATAAAAATTAATAAAGAGATTATTTTCATTAAAAATATTTTGTAGAATTAAAAAAAAATGATTGAAAATAGGAGTCTTTTAACTTAATCTTTGCTCAAATCTATGGAAACACAATATATTATTTTTAAATAATTTATATATATATATTAAATCATTGAACCTAGTTCGGGTCTATATAAATATAGAATATTTTTTATTACTTTTATTTGTCATATTTCTATTATAAGAAAATAAGCAATCAAATGTGATTTCATATTCTAAAAGATTAAATATAAAATTTAAGTTAATCGGTGTATTTTGAATATAATTAGACTTTTATATATAAAAAAATGAAAGGATAATATTATTTTGAAATAAATAAAATAACATAATTTCATCTATATTTTCAACAATAACCTTTTTTATATAAAAAATGATAAGATGAATTTCATTTTAAATTATCAAATGTATATAAAAAATGGTTGGATGGGGATATTGTGAATGTTTTAGGAAAGACGTTTCCAATAAACATGTTAAATCATCATCAAATAGATATAATTACAGTTAAATATTTTTTTTGATTAATTTAGGATGATTATGAAGTAATATTTGTTAGAAATATTCTCAATCATTTGATAACGAACACTCAAACATCCATGTAAATATCGTGTTCAAACTCAGAACCTCTAATAATAACAATTATCCCATATCGTGTTCAAACTCAGAACCTCTAATAATAATAATTATCCCTTAAACTACTGAGGTCGTTTGGTTTGTATACCGCTAAACATATTAAATTTTAATATTTGTAATGTTAAAAATTATCGAAGTCTTTTAAGCATTAAAAACACCTCATTAAATAAAATATAATCCTTAAAAGAAAATATTACTTATGTTTTATGTACTTAAAGACTTATAAATAACTCATATTTCTATTGATGGCTTTTCATCATAAACCACTCTATGCCACATTTGACACTCTATGCTCCATCGGTGTTAACCTTGACCCATCGTGTTCACCGCATCTACTTAAAAGACTTATGCTTCATCGGTGTTAAAGGTTATGAAATTGCAGCAAATTAATATTAATATACAATTCCCTATTCCAAATTACATTCAGCATTTAAACTTACGAACAATATCAGTATCGATTGAAGTTATTCCTATTTTGATTAAGTAGAGATATTACATGTTAAAGCAAATGTTATAATTCGACTATAAGGTGAGATATCCTTCATCACTCGACCAATTGATGGATCTTAATTGAAGTTATTCCTTCGTAGATCATCACTTTGCTCTTCTGACTCGAAATTCTTTGTTCGATCTTAAACTACAAACCATTAAACACATAAAATACGAAATGAAATTGACCATCAATAAACAAGATTCATTATCAAATTGAATAACCAAAATATGGAGGATGGAAAGTTGTTCACCGAAATTCTCCCTTCAAATGTAACCGCACTCTAATTATACGGTGGCACGCCCTTCAAATGTTTCGCAGCCCAAGGCCACCTGCATTCATCGGTTTACAGATATTTCCCCAACGAACCAAATGGATCCCACGTTTCTCCTCGAAACAACCCCAAATCAATCTCCGAATCAAACACTTAATATCATCACATATTCCTTTGAAAAGGTAACATGTTTGCATAGCATATGATGGCAAATGTCAATAAGACCGATTTGGCCATGGTAATGCGTCGTACCAAGGATAAGTGTTTCGCCTTCCAGCTTGAAAAGCGTTCTTGGACTTGCTTAACCAAGTATTGATATGTACTATACATAACCCGACGATGCAAGAGAGGAACGCCTAGATATTTGCCGAGGTCATCTACGAGGGTGAATCGAAAACTATGACTGATATACGTGCGAAGCAAATAATCTTGACATTTTAATAGTCTATATTATTTCTCAAAAATATATACTAAAATTTATCCTTCCAAATTTATTTATCAAAATAACACGTATGTATATTACATAGACTAAAGGTGCACATATTCAGTCATATCTTTTAGAAGGCGCATTTGATTACCACACGTGATAAAGAAAGACTTTCGGATGAAACACATTTTTCACATAATATATCACGTTCGATGTTTAATTCAAGACAATGATTTATATTTTTTAAAATTTATTAGAGTTTCTAGGGTTAAGCTTTTTAAAGGTTTAATGATTTAAGATTTCATTAGGGATTTGATTTTTTAGGTTTATGTTTTTTTAGATATTAATATTATATATATATATATATGATATATGAAGAAAAAATTATTTAAAAAAATTTTTTATTAGAGAAAATAAATTATAGATGATTATAATTTGTTGTGAAATATTAAAAGAGATGGATATTTTTTTTATAATGTTCTCAATTTTTACAGTATTAGAATCATTTAGATGCTTCGATCTTTTCTTTGATATCCATATCATTACGAATTTTAGTCAATTTTGAGTAATTTATAAATTCTTTACGTAATGAAAGATCTTATAGAATTGTATACCATGTGACAACCTCATTCCATTCTCTTTCATTATTGATAAAAGGAAACTCGTGTTTATATATCTTCAAGACACGCAAAAGTCAATATACATTGTACACTTATCTCTTGTAATTGATACAGAAATATGAACTCGCAATTACAATATAAATATGTGGATATCTGAGTGCATAAAAAAAGACACCATTACATATTTTTATTTCAGATTTGACTGAAATGAATTTAATATAATATTATCAAGATTGCATAACGTTTGGAACTACAACTTTTTTTGTTTAGAGTATCACTAAAGTTAATTATCTACCTTAGATATTACGAGCAAATATCGAATTATCATCGAAATGACTTAAAAATAATTAAATTAAGTCATATTGAAATTAGGGGTAAAGAAAGGTGGGTTGAATTCAATAAAATTTTCTCTCTCCCTTTTCCTTCCTATTCACACCTTTAATTTTTCTTTTCTTCTCTTTATGTAACTATCTTTATCTGTGTAAAGACTAAAAGCGCGGAAGTATCTCCTCCCTCCGTTTGCTTCCTTCCATCTTTGCCTTCAAAATAAGCAGCTCCATCCCCTTTACTCTCCATTCATTCCCTCCCCAAGAAGATAACAGAGGGGGGAAATGTCTTGGGCTCGTCCGGATCCGGTCCAAAGAATCCACCCGCCACCAATCGACCAGTTCGACCGTCTGCCTGACTCTCTTCTTCTTTTAATCTTCAACAAGATCGGCGACGTTAAAGCTCTCGGCCGCTGCTGCGTTGTCTCCCGTCGTTTCCATTCCCTCGTCCCTCAAGTCGAAAACGTCTTCGTCCGTGTCGATTGTGTCATCTCCGACGACGATTGTTCCCCGTCTTCTTCCTCCGACAAATCACGTGCCGCTGGTCCTTTCTTGAACCTCTTCCGTCTCGTTTTTGGAGGCATTGTTAAACCACTTCAAGCTTTGGGTCAATTCCTCGGCCCGAAACGGTCCATTCTCAACGAAATCCTTAACAGCCATTCCTCTTCCTCTCTATCTGTCGGTCCCGGCGGTGCTGATGACGGGGAAATGGACCAAGGTGGGGTTACCCATCATTCTCCTACACAAGTACTTAGAAATTTCAACGAGATTCGTTTCCTCCGAATCGAATTGCCCAGCGGCGAGTTAGGGATTGATGATGGAGTTCTTTTGAAATGGAGAGCAGATTTCGGATCAACCCTTGATAACTGCGTCATCCTCGGAGCTGCCTCTGTTATTAACAACGTGCGTATGCAAGTATCGGAATTTGGCAACGATGGGTTTTGCAGCTACAATAACATTACCGGCGGTTCAAATGTTGGAATCGGTGATGATAATGGGAGTATTCCGGAGTCCTTTTATACTAACGGAGGCTTGAAACTAAGGGTTGTTTGGACGATTAGTTCGTTAATCGCAGCATCAGCAAGGCATTATTTGCTTCAACCGATAATTGCAGAGCATAAGACTCTGGATAGATTGGTTTTAACCGATGCAGACGGACAAGGGGTGCTTCGTATGAACAGGGATCAGCTTGAGGAGTTGAGAGTGAAGCCATTATCTGCTTCCTCGGCTTCTAAAAGGACGCAGGTTCCGGCGTTGAATATGAGGCTCTGGTATGCTCCTTATTTGGAATTGCCTAACGGGGTTGTTTTAAAAGGTGCTACTTTGGTTGCTATTAGGCCTAGTGAACAATCTGCTTCGAAAAAAGAGGTCTCAGATACTTCTTGGTTATCAACTGCTTTCGAAGAGCCTTATGGGACTGCGGCAAAGATTCTGATCAAGAGAAGGACGTACTGCTTGGAGATGAACTCCTTTTGATGCCTGCTTCCTCACTTGCAATGGTGAAAATCTCAAATGCTGGAATTACTGGTTTATGTTGATTAATTTGTTAGAAAAGTGTTTTGATGTTTGCCTCATATGGATTGATTAGTTTCAAATGATGGAGCATTTATGCTGTTTGTGAACGATTTTTATTTACCATTAGACCTTTGATTAGATACATGGTTTTAAGCTATAAATATGCTCTTGAATGTTAATGTCTTTTGGTAATGCATGTATATTAGCTGAAATTAACTTTTATTATGATTGTTTTAATTTTTGCAATTCTTTGTGAATTAGAGGGGAGAACAAGCATGATTATATTGGTAGTGGTTGGTTTAGAGTTCAATTTTCATTTGAGAAACCTTTTTCTTGAAATGAAATAGTTTTGCAGGGAAACATCATGGAATGCATGTCGGCTTTCATTCGGTTTTTAGTTTATTATTTGCTTACATACCTTTTACCTGTTTCTGCTGAAATTAATGTTCATCTTGCATTTTCCAGGAGAGTAGCAATGCACAATGGTCAAGGGTAAGGGATAGCATGCTTTCGAAAAGCTGATGATCAAACAACAAATTTGTTTTGTGTTGTAGCTTAGTCTCGGTGCTGCATCCTTTGAAAGCAATCCATGAATGTTGGTAAGAATAATGCACCGCAAGCTATTCGACTTTTGAGCTTCAACTGATAGCCATATGCACCTGCTGGTTTTTTTTTATTTCAGGCATATGCTTGTTAGAGTGCACACCTATGACTAGATTGATGTTGTAAGAACTTCCAATTTGTAGTCCTTTAATCCCTCTTATATGTGAATATTATAGGTACGAAGATGTCATCCTTTATGTCATATTCTTATCAACTTCATCAAGAAATGTAGTTTGCGCTTATCTTTCAGTTTTTATTCGATAAATTTACTACATTTCTTTTCAAAGTTAATAGATACTTTATTGTAAGAATCTCAAATTCTTAAAGAGTCAGATGTTGCGGATACAAGGTCGAGGTTTAAACTTGGATGTTGATGACGTCTGCACTCTTTATTTTTCTTAAATATTCTCGTGTAACACTCATGTTGTACTTTTGGTTGATCCATACATGTATATGATATTCACACTCGAATCTCAGTGACATAGGGTGTGATAGAAATCCGGTGATGGTAACGCAATGTGTACCACGTTGAACAATTTTGTTGATGAAAGGGATCTTGGTGTGATATTAGTCTATCTGGATTTGAAGTTTTCTATATTTACTCCATGAAATTATGTTGTCTCCTCTGGACTTCCTTCACAAATATTTCCGTCGAAAATCAAAGTCTCTAAAATATGAAAAGACCTACAAAGGGTTCTACATCGTCGACCACGGATTTTGAAATGTCATCTTCCAACCAGTTATCTTCTCTTGACAATAGTTTTGACATGATTATTGACAGATTTACTTAATATATTATTGTCAAATCTATTGTTAGTTAAGCATATCTGATCAATCTATTAATTTACTAGTAGTCATCATGATTATAGGTCTTACGCTAATAATTAAGAGTCACTATAACCCCCCCTAAGATGATGGATTTATTCTCAAACTTCCTTTTATGGATTCTTGAGATTTACTAAATAAGGCGATATAGATTGTGTGCAATTCCATTATAAATTATCGGATGAAACTCTATCTAAATTAAAAAAGATGAATCATCTATAATTGTCACAATTCGAACACGTACTATCATTAAGTTCCAACGAAGCTTGTGGCAGCATGGCCTATCTGATTAAAGAATGATCTTTAATATTTGTTGTGATACAAATTTTGAAACATTTAATTTGGAATTGATTAGTATATGGTTCTGGAAACAAGCAGTAGGGTTCCTCATTTTAATTTCATTTATATCATGCACGAGAGAGAAATGGACATGTGAATCATTTTATGTGGTTTGGTATTGATTTCATGCTGTTAGGGAGAGACATTTGGCAATAAAATATTGCACCAAATTTATGAGTAGCCATTTTCACCACTTGTTTCTGTTTTTTTTTTTAAAAAAAAATTGATTGATTGGCCATTTTATTTTGAAGAAGCATTAAATAATATTGCAATAATATTAATTAGCTGGCTCTTCTTCTTCCTTTTATCTGTTTATCGCATGAGCTTTCTTCCCTTTCATACATGAAACAGTCCACGTGAACCCACTTTGATTTTGGCCTTTGTTTTTATATAATTTAATATTAATTAAGCAATTCATAGATGAAGAAGAGGAAATTATAATATGAGGAAGCTTAGAGATATAGAAAATGAAGAAGCCCCACATGCTTATATTGAAGCCGGCAACAGTTGTGATTTATTTGAAAAGCAGATGGAAAATGAAAATCTTTATTATTATTGTGGATTAAAGTTTTGAGTTTGAACACCACGTATGTAGAGGTATATGAACGTTTAATATCAAATGATTGATAGTCTTTAAATAGATATTACCGTGTATTCAACCCGGACTAATAAAAAAATAAACTTTCCTTTTTTCTAGTAATATCTAAACTGTGCTTTACTTTTAATTATCATTTCCCCTTAGATTAGAGGTGGGCTCCTATTAATTACTATCATCATTATTGTTATTTAAAATTTTAATCAGTATAATTAGACAATGATTAAGATTTTAAAATTCAGTAAAATAGTGTAATTTTTAAGGAAGTAAAACTGTGCATCTACATGCAATTTCGGTCCATATAGCTTCTGATTATCTACTCGATGGAGCCACAAATTTGGTATAAAATTCTCATTTTTGTGTCACTCAGACTCGTCTTTTGCTTGTTTATGAACTTAATTTCATAGGTGCACTATAATGTTACAGAGATCTAACGTTGTTTATTGATCTTCCTTATTTCAGTGGGGCCGCAATATCGAAATATTGTATGATCGGGTTTGACGGTACCCAAATCGAGTTGAAAACTTGTACTTTGCATTCCGAGCTGTGACAAGGGTGAGTAGCATAAGGAATCTATTTGGGTACTTGAGGAGCCTAGCATAAAATTAGGCGAAAACAAACCTTGGACACGTAGCCAAGTACTTGATAAATCTCTATTTACTTGCCAAGTAAGTATTTATTTCACTTGAGCCTGCTTAATTTGATGCATTTCAGGCAGCCGAGTAATTGGAACAAGCCGAATATGATACAGGTAATCCAACCGACGACCTAAAGACAATCCCTAATGAAGAATTTACTTTATAATCCAAAATTGCAAGCTGCATGCCCACTTCCATTTGATGAAGCTAAATTGTGGAAAGTACAAAGAGGACCACAACTGAAACATTAAATACAAGCACAATTAAAAAATATCAGGTTTCTATAATTTCATTTTTGGTGATGCATGTCTAAACATATTTACTTGAATCATGTTTGTGTTGGTACATTAAGCAACATGTCGAAACTTGTTCAGAACATAATATTGTCTAGAAGAAATGAGATCTGGAACTGTACTTCAACCTATCACTGTAGCCCTCACTGAAAACTTTGACAAACTGTTTCATCTTCTCTTTTATTTTTGACAAACATTATAATCGAATGATTATAGATGTAATTTATTATTAAAATAATAAAAAAATTAAAGTTGATATTATTTATTATCGTTAATCATTAATTAAATAGAATAAATATTATTGTTCTGAATTATATTTATTAAATTATAACACAAGAAAGAACCAATGCCGTTGACCCTTTGTAGATTGTTTCCTAACATACTTTGAAGTCTTTCCCGAAGTAAATGGGATTAAAATCAAAAGTAATTAAATAAGATTTTTGGGTTTCTTTTTTTATCACTTTTCTCGCTATATCATGGCAAATTTGGTTTATAATGTTAAAGCAAAGTCTCTTGAACAAATAACCCAAATCTTTTTCAATGGCGAGAAGGACCAGTTTTTTCAAGATTTTAATCTTCGACTTCCTTACTCGGCTGGTAATTTGCCATCCTTATCATGTCTACTATCTTTTAACGCCATTGTTAACTGATTTTGTTTTCTTTTTGTCCTATGTAGATTAGGGTTTCTTAAGAGACTATCGTACTAGTACAATCTAGGATGATATGTAGACATCGATTCTTATATTCATGGACGGACATAATATTTTATGTTAGTAATTACGAAGTTATAGTAGAAATTTAAAGGGTACCGCACCCTCAATACCCCTTCATCCATGCTTATACTGTTTTGTTTTGTAGCACAACTTAATGTTTAAGTATTTTATGTTAATTACTTCTAATTAGACCTCGTGCTTTTGTTTGATAGCGAATCCCACCAGCTTTTATAAAGAACTTGGAGGAGAATCTACATAAGAAATTGCCTCGAGAGTCTGTACTTGAAACCTGTGATGGGAGAGTTTGGCATGTTGATGCTGAAAAGATTGATGACAATTTATGTTTCAACAATGGTTGGAAGCAATTCGTGCAACAAAACTCTCTAGAGATGGGATACCTCATAGTTTTCAGCTACCATGGGAATTTAAGATTCAAGCTCGAAATTTATGGGAGAAATTGCTGCAGAAAAAGGGAACAGCCGTTGAGAAAGCATGAAAGGAAAACAACAGCAGGCAAACCAGTCCCTGTATATCGACCGAGACCGATCCGAAATGTTCGGAGAAAGAATCTTGGGAACTTGAATCATGTGATGAGAAGAGGTGAAGGAGGATCTAAAGTGTTTAGTAAGTGTTCAGGTGGGAGAGCTGGTGAAGTTGAGTATATAGTAATATCTGATAGTGATGATGAGGAAAGCTTGTTTGGTCAAATGGAAAATCCGAAGAAAACCAGTGGACTTGAAACTGACCAGAATTACAGCTCTAGATATCCATTCTTCAAAGTTACCATGACACATTCTTACGTGAACAGACTTTCTGTGGTAAGTTCATTTATGCCTCTGTGTTTTGTTTGGTTTAATTTCTCTGTTAATTGAAAATATTCTTCTTTTTAAATGCAGAATGTACCGAAAAGATTCTTGAGGGCAAATGGTTTGAAACGAATAGCGATGACCATAAAACTCAGGGTTTCAGGTAAAACATGGCTTGTGAACATGTCCAATCATCAACGATATGCTAGATTTTGCGCTGGTTGGGCCAATTTTGCGAAGGATAATCGCCTGCAAGAACAGGACGTTTGCCTGTTTGAATTGATCGATCGTAAAGATGTAAGTTTTCGAGTTACTATCTTGTCCGGAAAAATGGTATTTGTCAACTTTACTTACAAGTTTATATTACCAGCACTCATGCATTCAGCAGAGGAAAAAGATGGATGTGAATAGATAACACATCATGTATAAGATATGGCTTAGCAAGAGTGCAAGACTTCTTCAGTCGCTTTGGAGGCCTCGCTTTCTCTTTCCTCGTATCATCAGGACTTTTAACATGGATTAATGGCTGCAAAACAGTGAGAAAATGATAACTGTTACTATTATTACCAAAAACATATATAGCCATGGAAGTTCTTGGAGCCTACGTTATTCAGATTCGGGTGGGATTATGTTAAATTATTTCTAAGAGGATCATATCCTCACACCCATCTCCGATCACATATAAGTAGGGATGCAAATGAATCAGGCTTGAACAAAAAAGGGTGTTGTTTATGTTCGTTTGTTTATTTTTTAATGGGTTTATATTTAACTTAGGTTCGTTTTTATTTTTTAATATTATTTTCGTATTCTCTGTTTATTTTTTAAAATACTCTGTTCGGTTCATTTAATTTTAGCGAATATTAATATTAATATTAATATGGTATCTATTATTTTTCGTGGACATCTAGACTATGGAGGTTCCTATTTTCTTTCCTTCAAAACGCGTTGAAACTTGAAAACAAAAAAACTTCAATCCGTGTTGAAATCTGTTATATTTGTGGGGGTCTTGATGCATAATATTTTTTAATAGTATAAAGTGATTATAAGATAATATATATTTGAAATATTTTTCAATTATTCGTAATTCACACAAATCCTACTTGAATCCATATCTTTAGAGATAATAGTACTCTCTTTAACCACAATGTCACTTGATAAGTCTATAATATTTGATTAACTAGCTTGATATAGTTTAAACATGTCTCGAGTTTGAGGTCTTATGTATATACTATATAGAGAATTTCTATTGGGAGATTCACTTATCAAAATCAAATATACAACATAGATTGATTTTAATTAACCATAACAAAACTATAAAGAACGGATAGGACAATAAAAAAACATAATTTGATGATGGATGGAATAATCTATGAACTATAATATATAATATAATTTACTTGCAAATTGATTAACTATGAATGCATCTAAATCTAGTTTACAGATTTCTATATTGTATAAATTCTAGAAAATCTGGAATGGGAGTAAAACTATGTGTTCTGAGATGCACTAAAAACAGAAATTCACATATCTAACCAGAAAGTCAACTATTCACACATGAACTGATCTAGAAGAATTTGTTTGACCAATGATATCTCAAAACTGAACCCAAAATAATAATAATAATAATAAAACAAAGGTAACGTTAGTGATGATGTAGTGTGCCCTAAAATAAAGAAAGGAAATCTTCGTGAAGGGCAGCATCGTTGTCAAACCGTATTTTAGTCAAAAGTTGCCAACCAACTTCCTGTTTTTTTAGTTTCTATTTCCTAATTTTAAGCATTGCAAAGTCTGAAACACTCGTTCATCTTCCCTTATATAAATCATATACTCTAAACAATTCCTTAAATCATCAAAACCCAGGCTTTATAATCTTCTTTTTTCCGAGTTTTGAAGATGATGAAAGAGGTGGGATACAAGCAAAACTGGGGTGAAGAGGCACCGTCGCTTCTCATTAATCCCAGAAAATCGTCAGCCTGTCCAAGGCTAGAGACCATTCTGGAAGAAGGGTATGAGAATCATGCAGTTTTTTCCAAGAAATTATTGGTTGTTCTTCCCCTGGTGTTGTCTACGGCTGTCTATTTCCTGCTAAACAAGGATTTGACTCTCTGTGCTTGAAAAGGGATTCGAGGGAAACAAAACAGTGGGTTTCGTGCGGATGATCTTTCCTTACTTGAGAGGTCGATGCTTGAAAGGTTTAAGAGTTTTGAGTTCAAGATAAGAAGCTCAACGCTACAGAGAGATTAATGTTGAATAAGCTTATGGCATTGTAATATGTGAGAATATGGGGCACGTGTTTTGGGTAAATTCTCCTTGCAATGTCAATTAATTTTTTTATTATATCAATCCAACATCTCCCAGTTTCTCTGGTTTATGAAAGTTTCTGTTTACAATAGATTTTCAGCGTTCGTTTTGGAAATGCTTTTTTAAAACTTTTAATGATATGGTTAACAGGTTCAAGAATTGAATGACAACAAGGCTAGGATAAAGATAATTCTTGTTTTTAGTGTCCTAAAACAAAATTGAATGAATTCAGGTTAGTTATTTGTTGGCACCGAGTTTCATTCGATCCAAATCTAAAAAAAAAATGTATCATGTCCTCTGAATTTCATTTGATTCAAATCTAAAAACATGCACCATGTCTATGTCCAAACTCCATCAACATCATCTTCTCTACTGTAAACACCCTCGTCCTTGAGCAACACCAATGCCCATTGCACCACAACACTCTGCCTCGACCTTTTTACACAAATACTAAACACCACACAACTCAAGATCCTATATGTTACCACCGACCACCGTTAATCCACGAACCGCCCGAAACCCAACCAACCAACATGAAACTTGTAAACATATAAAGAATAATATTCTCTTTTATTATTGAGATCATTTTTTTCACAAATTTAAAAGAAAGCAAACCACTTAACATAATAATGGATGCACAGAGGAACATCAAAGTTCAAAGATCCATACTCAAAAACAAAGAACACCAAACACCTAAGCACGAAGCAAAATAACTAAAAGTCGATCATTTAATGAATTATGTAAACTCTATTTTTTTTTAAAAAAAAAATCGTCTAACTATTTGAAAAACAGTTTCATCACTCCTTTATTTTGATTTCCAATTTCTTACATTTTAATTTCTTTTAATTCAATCAATTTTAGCATAGATCAAGTGTTGGCATGATCCAATTGGATATTGTCACGTGTCAAATGGTTACTTGTACTTCTACATTCTACTTCTAGATGGCTTTGACTCTGTCTAGGCCTTGTTTGGAGGTCACTTCTATTTTGAATCAATTGAAATATGTGGCTGTCAACTGTAAAATTGCTTAGAAAATCAATTATGTAGACACCAGCATCATTAATTTTGTGTGAAATTTCCTAGTCTTGTCATGTATGAACTACAATTACTTCCATCCATTATTAGTGAGAAATAGTTCTCTCCTAGTTTTCCTCATTGGTAAATCTATTTTGTTATCTTTGTTGATCGGTGGTGACACTAACTCTAGTGTTCATTGTTAATCATCGATATTTTTTATTGTCTTTTTATTTTCTTATATTACATATTTATTTTCTTTTTTTATATTTTCAATAAATCTACTTGTATGACACATTTTCATCTGCCTTTATGTCATATTTTCTTCTTTTTTAGCACCTATTTCGGTCGTTTGGTCGTTGTTTTGACTTATCTTTTTCTAAGGATTGATTTGATATCGTCATGACCGATCAATATGACACTTATCTGTTATATTGTTGATCTTTCTTGTTTTGGACCGTCGGTTTGGATTTGGATACCTATTATGCGTTCGTGGATAGTTTTTCACATCGCTCGAGTCTGATTTACAGTTTGTCGGTGGTCTTTTAGTAGCTTGATCTCCTTTTGTGATTCGTTTACCGATGATATCATATCTGTTTGTATCTATCTTTGTTCAAGTTTTCTTAATTAGATTTTAATATTTCCTAATTATAAGAAATTGTCTTAATTATGTGTTTAATTTACGATTATAATTATAAATATTTAATTTATTATATCATGATATAAATTATTGTTTTAGAAATGATTCCGTTATTATTAATATAAACATAAAATGGATGTTGTCTTCTAATATTAACAAAATATTTCTACATTCATGCATCCAAATGAGAAATATAAAATTCAAACGATGTTACTTTTTTAAATAAGAAATTAGATTTTTCATTGAGAAAAAAAATTGAGAAGTAATTTGACAGGTTTTTTTTTTCTAATTAAATATTTAAATTTGATCTTAAGGTTCAATCAGGTGCTTAAATATTTTTTTCTAATTAGATACTTGAACTAGGCTTTTAAGTTCAAATTAATACATCAACTTGACTTCATGATTTAAATTGATTTTTATTTATTTATCATAATATCAATTTGGACAAAAAAATGATGTTTAAATATTTATTTAAACCAATATATCAAATACACATATCTATTTAGAAAAAATCGTTCAATATTAAAATAAGCTTTAAAATTAAAATTCAATACTTAATTAGAATAAAAAATATCAAATTATACCTTAAATATTAATTTCAAGTAGCAAAACATACATTAACCCTTACTATAAATCAAACACTAGAGGTGTATTCGGTTCGGTTTTTTATTAAAAATTGAACCGAATCGAAATAAACGAGTTTTTAGAATTTAAACCGAAATTGAAACCGAATGGTTAAAAAACTGAATTATGTTAAATCGATTTTTTCGGTTCAGTTCGGTTTTTTTAACGGTTCGGTTTTTCGGTTCGGTTTATCGGTTTTTCAATTAAAAAATTCACTTGAAACTATAAATTTTTTTTAAAAAAAATTTGTTTATTCGGTTCAATATGGAACAAATGGGTTCCATATAAAAAACCCGAACCGAACCGAATCAATAGAATTAAAACTTTAAACCAACCCAAAACCGAATCGTATAAGGTCAAATCGAATCAAACCGAACTATTTTACTTGATTCGTGTGGATTTTTCGACTTTCTCGGCTTCGTAGCTCATCCTTATCAAACACACTTGTATTGAGAAGAAAAAGACGAAATTATCCCGAGATTTTCTTTGACCAACCAAATCTCCTAGAAACAGAACCCAAAAGAAGAAAAGGAAATCTTCTCGAAGGACAGCAGTGTATGTTTTATAACAATATAAACGGAATACGAAAATGGAAAAAAGAAAAGGTCGTGGGTTAACCTCCCATCATTAAATAAAACTGTTTACTTTGGTCCAAATTGCCAACCAGCTTCCTGTCTTTTTCGTTTTTCTTTCTTTCCTTATTTTACGCAGTGGAAAGTTCCAATCACCTGTTCATCTCCCCCTATATAAATCCTCATAATTTACTCAAAACAATTACTTGAAACATAACAATCTCCCCCAAAACTCATCCAGAAAAAAAAACCAGTCTTTATAATCTTCTTTTTCCGAGTTTTTAAGATGACGAAAGAGGTGGGATACAAGCAAAACTGGGGTGCAGTGGCTCCATCCCTTCTCATTAATCCCAGAAAATCTTCAACTTGTCCAAGGCTAGAGACCATTCTGGAAGAAGGGTATGAGAATCATGCAGTTTTTCCCAAGAAATTATTGGTTGTTCTTCCCCTGGTGTTGTCTACGGCTGTCTATTTCTTGATAAACAAGGATTTTACTCTTTGTGCTTGAAAAGGGATACGAGGGAAACGAAACAGTGGGTTTCGTGTGGATGATCTTTCTTTGCTGCAGATGTCGATGCTTGAAAGGTTTAAGAGGTTTGAGTTCATGATAAGAAGCCTGCAAAATGGAAGAAGCTCAATGCTACAGAGAGATTAATGTTCAATAAGTGTATGGCAATCTAATTCTGTGAGAATATGGGAAGGATGGGGCATGCATTTTGGGTAATTGCTCTTTGCAATGTCAAAATTTTGTAAATATTAATCCATCTCCAGTCTCTGGTTTTTCAAAGTTTATGTTTACAATAGTTTTTAAACGTTCATTTTAGAAATATTTGCTTAATTTTTTTTATTGTAATTTCGATTTCTTAATCCAGATTAATTCATATTAACTTACGTGGTACACATAATTTTAATTTTAATGAATGAATATTCTAATAGAATTTTTTTACATATACACAACTTCAAACTTGAGATTTACTTAACGATACAAAACTGCTTGCGCTTAAATTTTAGATACCTTAAATTTTTTATTCATTTTGGTCCTTTCTAATTTCTGTTTGGTGCGATTAGGTCCCATAAATCAGGTTACTTCATAATTTTTGGCCTCCATCCATGACTAGAATATTACAATCAGATCATTAATTCATTGAATTGGATTAATAATTGAGTTATTTAGTCCTCAATCAGGTTAATTTGGCCCCTAAATTGAAATTAGGTAATAAAATTTACTTTAATTTCTTAATTGATTTTAGTTTGGTCCCTAATATGAAATTGATAAATAAAATTGTCTTAAGTTTCTTAATTATTTTAATTTAGTATGTAATTTGAATTCAGTTTTAATCAATTTGACGTAAACTTCTTAATTAATTTTAGTTAAATCCTTAATTTCTTAATTTGACGTAAAAATGGTGTCTAAACTGGGACAAGTCGGTGTCTTCTTGCGAGAAATAAAAAGGGCTGGTGCCTTTTCATACCTACTCTGCATACCCTTCATCTTTCCTGCAACAAATCAATCAAAATCTTCTGAATTATTTTGAACTTGTAGAACAGAGTGGTCGGTGGTTGAAGCCAAGGATGGATTATAAAAAAAATTCTTAGAGATAAAGAAACTTGGGGTATTGGTTGAAGAAGTAGTGAATTGGTGAGTTATATTCTCTAGTCCTAAGTCTCTAGAATTCTATAGTATCTTGTGACAATCTTTTGACATGACTACCGATAGATTCACGTAATCTGTTAATATTAAATATGTTATATGATAATTAGATTTTTGTTATGTCAACTTACAAATAACTATCATAACCCTAAATTTGACATTAAAATTAAAAATTAAGATAAAATTCATCATGTATGATTGGAGAAGAGATCCTCCCTCTCTTGGACTCTTTTTGAATAATTCTCACCGAGTTTATTTTACTATTCATTGTATTTCTCATCTTACCAATCATATACCAGGGCTCCCGCCCAAACCGAAAAATTAAAGCACCTACCCGTCAACACAACTTAACAAGACAAAGTCAAAGTAGATTAAAGCACCAACTTTTGAAATTATTACTATAAATATTTATACCATGGAAAGAAACCCTGCAAAGATGAGGACGTGTTGCCTGAAACTTCAACCATTCCTTATCCAAACCAAACCACAATCGCTATCAGACCAATGCGGCATGTGAAATAATAATAACTAAAAAGAAAAAGAAAAGGATAGAAATGAAGACACTTTACAAAATGTTGGATTCAATTAAAAGAACTTCCAAGTTGTGGACACTTAATTGCAAGAAGCAAAAGACTGTTCATTAGCATGAGTAAAAGGCTAACTGTGCCAATACATTTAGATATTTATTAAAGAAATAAATGGCTTTTTTTCTCAGATCAGAATCATTCATATTTCAGGACCACTGGAATATCAACTTGTTTCTTGAGGATCTTTCTCTTCCATTCAATTATATCCATGCCAACTATCTTGTTTGAACATTCATGAATCTGGTTGCTTGAATGGACTTCGGGATTTAATGGTGTTCAGATAAAAATCAGAAGGTAAAGCTTTACATCTAAACTGGGGTTCATGTTTTCAAGTGCAGAACAGAAGACTGAATTAGACATTGATTATTTTGGGCCAGACATGACTAATCATCTATAAATCAACCTCTATAAACATTTCTGTATCGCTTTTAAAAAGGCAATTTTAAAAGCATGTGTTTTAATTAGAAAAAAATAGATTCGAAAGTTAATTATGCATGCAAAAAATTGGAGCATCCTACGATACACGTTAATTCTTCGTTATCTCAATTTTTAAAAGTTATGAATTCATATTTAATTTTAATTTATGATCGGTTGAATTAAAGTATGAATGCAAGCTTGATCAATTAAATGAATTTATTTAAAAACAAAAATATTTAAATTAATTTTTAACAGAAAATTAAAAAAATTGTATTGAAAACGCATGCATGATTATTATATATATATGAAGTAATAAAAAATATGTAAATGATAAAAATATACACGACATATACATAAATAATAATAAAAAATTCACAACTTAAAACAATTTTCAGTGAGCCCCGGAACATTCTCATACGCACCAGCATCTTTGAAGAAAATCAGAGTCAAGGCATGAACAAATACAAAAAATAATCCAGGAAGAACACATGATACTGACATTCATGAACTAGAGATGTTCTTACAACCAGACAATTAAACTCTCGGTAGCTTTAAATCAAAATAATTAAAAGACTCCATGAAATAACAAGAAAACAGCATTTTACAGCCAGAGACACTCATTGGTGCCCTAAAAATAAAGATTCATAAAAGTACAGCAACATGTTCAATCCATCAGTACTTTGGAGGTGCATTGGTGCCCTAAAAATAAAGATTCATAAAAGTACAGCAACACGTTCAATCCATCAGTACTTTGGAGGTGCCTGTTGGGTTGGCAATAAACCAAAACGTTTCTTCAAAAGAACTCTTTGCCTCGAATATTTGTCGTCGGGGGAGAAACGAGCTGCACAAGCATTAGGTAAAAGATAAACAAAGAGTCATTAGAAAGCATAACACTCCCAAAGAAGATTTCTATTCAACTTTCAAAAATATGCTGTAATCCTAATACAACCTGATAACATGCATTCAAGGCAACAGTACCAACCAATACAATGACTGCCATGGATGGCAAAATTTTGCTTAGCAACTTGCCAATGAAAGGATAAATGAAACAGATGGCTAATGGCCAATGTGTAATCAGAACCTATGTTGCTCAGAGTCTTCATTTCTCTTGAAGCACCCATTTTCTACACTCATTTTCAACACATGGATGTGAGGATATGACCTCCAAGTATCCTCCACTAAAATCTAACCATAGCCATGTCGGATAATGTCCATATCCCACACTGATACCCTAGTCCAAGTAGTAGCATAAATCAGAGCAGTCCAGATTCTCAACTAAAATGAACCTCTTTTATTGATTTTTAAGATTAAATCAGAATCCTAAAAAACATATCAATTTCTAACACGGCAGCGTATGCAGAACATTATGTAAAAATACAGTAGGCATTATTACCTGGATGAGCAGACTGAGTGGGCAGCCCCACTGGTGATTCTTTCTGCAAACAAAAATCGATGTAAATGTAATTATAGAGAAATAACTGGTGAAATATTGATCACAAATAAATTAGAAAACCTATTTTTTTTCCAAAAGAATATAATATTGATAGTTAATTATGGAACAGAAATCCTCCCAAGAAAAAATAGATAAAGTTATTGACATTCCAAAGAGCGATTCTCGGCCATATAACAAGTTTAAGATCAAATCAAGCTAAAACACCAGCAAAAAAGAGTTCCGAATTCGCAAAGGGATTTGATGTTTCATTATACATACGAAGTTGTCCTTACCAAGTCTCAGTCACCATAAACAATATAAAGAATTGAAGAATTAACATAAACATGAGTCGAGTTCTACTTTAAACTCTGTTTTTATCAATAAAAGATAAAGAACAGAAAAGAAGAAGTATGGGACTTTACCTTAGTGGTGTAGACTTTGTCACCATTGTCATTTATGTAGAACTGGAGATACATCTTTATCCAAGCAAATAGAACAGAAACTATGGAAAGATAGAAATATTAGAACTTTTACACAATCAATAGAATACCCAGAAAGAAAAGGCAAATTATAATAAGAATAATTGTCTTTGTAAATTGTAACCGGAACCGCACCTTCGGTGATGGAGGTTGGAGAAAGGAGTTTTAGGGTTTTAGACTTTAGAGTGACGGGAGTGCCGATGGGAATTTATAGGGTTGAGAAAATTTGGGCCAATTTTATTGACAATTAAGTTGGGCTCAAATACATCTTTCTTATCGGAAATCTACTTACCACACGTTTGAGAGCTGTAATATTATTGTTATGATCAATGTATCCTTTTTAGTTTGTGTGGAGAGCCATCATAGCGAAATAAACTCATAAAAAGCCATTTAAAAAGAGAGAGCAAGAAACAGCACAAATCCTAACGACCTTGATGGTAAAAAATTTATTGTTATTCCTCGAAGTCTCGAATTTGAGCACCATAAATACTAGAAGTACGAGCATCAATGTCAAATAATTGAGAGTAATCTTTAAACAAAAGGTTTTAAAATTTTCGAAAGTTATGGAACTCCGAAAAAGGATCTCTAAAGGTATATTTCAGCGGAGGTCTTGTATGATTTGTGAAGGAACCCTTTTGAGTAAAAAGATTCGAATGTAATATAATAATAATAATAATAATAATAATAATAAAATTTTATTATTTTATTTGTTTAAAATAAACAATTTAAAATCTAGGGTCCTCTCTAAGGGCGGATGTATGTGGCTTTTGAGGAGAACAATTGTATACTTATTATTATTATTGTTTTTGGGGAAAAACTTAAATTTAGTTTAATTTGTTAATAAAAATAGGAAAAAAATAAGAAAATGTATGTACCTAAAATATTTTAGTACTCTATCATTAGGAAATTAACAAAACTTCTGACATTATATTTTATTTTATTTTCAATAAAGATGTGACATTATTTTATGATGATATGTCAATATCACTGTTAAGATTTTAATGGTAGAATATCAAAATGAAATTTAAACTAAACGTTAAGTATGATTTTAAAAAATATATAAAATTTGTGTTTTAAACTATACAGAAATAATAATTAATTTAAGTACAATTGTATAGTTTACTCTTGTATTTATGGTGGGTAAATAAAACGGTCAACACCAAACATAGAGGAATATTCCGAATATTAAATCTAAGCCTTCCAGGAATATTCAGAAGAGTAAATCTTGGAAGTTTGAAAAGTATGCAGTATACTTCTAATATTATATATGCCAGGGTCAGCATCAATCAAATGCTATTATAATTAATAAAGTTTTTTTAAAATAAAATTATTGCAGTTTCTAAACTTACATAACATCCAATATAACCCTTAAATTAAGAAAAATATCAATTCAGCCCTTTGAACAACGAAAATAATCGTTGACCATTACGATATTAACACGATAGTTCACGATATTAATGTGAAATTGGTAGTCCGAGGTAGATGATGATATAATTTTGATAAAAAAAATATATAAAAAAACATCACAAGTTATAAAATATTAAAAATTGACATGTTTGTATATTCTTTTTATGTCATGCCATTTTCTTTATTTTTCTCATATTATTTATGTTGCATTTAGATTAATACAACTTTTTATTATATTTTGTCATGGTAACTTTTTGTGTTTATATTTGTCTAAATTCAACTCATATAATATCAAATTATTTATTATTGTAATTTTTTAAGCTGAATTTAATATAATACAGACTCACTTGATAAATGATAATTGATAAATAAATTATTTTAACAAATATAATTAAAAGTGAATTCCTTTTTCAAATCAAAATAATGGTTAATATATTTTTTATTTTTTATAATGACTAAATTAGTTAGATGTTATTAGATCTCTAAATAAAAAGATGTTGTGTACTTGAATGTGCTCAAATTCACATTATTATAAATGTTACTACATCATCACTCTAATTTTTAATTACTACATTGTTACTTTATAATTTTTGAAAAGATTAAATTATTATTTTAACATTTTAAGTGGGCTAAAGTATAATTTTATTAGTATGTAGTAACCTTTGAATTGTTTTTTAAGGACCTCTTTATAATTTTATCAATTTAAGGGGATATGGCGTTTCCAACTCCTCATTCGTCTTTTTCGGAAATTTTAAGATAGTGCCTTTTAAGGAAATTCTAGAATACTGCTAAACATATAAAAGAATTGGGTAAAGTACACGTTTAATACTTAAATTATTATTTTTGTTTTGTTTTGATACTTAAGCTTTATTTTTTTCTCAAAATCATATTAAATTTTTAATTTATGTTTCATTTTGGTACCGTGTCATCATTAAAAAAATAAAAAAAAGTCACACCAGCAGTTATGTTAAATTTTTAACGATGAGTAACAAAATGAAATTTAAACTAAACGTCAGGTATAATTTAAAAAAAATGGAGTACCAAAACAGAAGAAAATTAATAGTTTAGATATTAAACATGTAGTTTACCCTAAAATAAAATTATTCACATAATTTAAACCTATAATATTTTAAAAATATATGTTTTAATGATTCATATATTAAATATGTCTGTCTAATTATATTAAATTATTATTTCAAATGATACATATATTATTCATTTAATTTGTAATTAAAAATGACAATTTATTTGATTGTTTTTTAAAAATATAATCAGAGAAGTTAATATGGCGTATTCTAGTTTTTTTTTTTAATTGCAGCATCTAATCTTACTTTTATTTAATTAATTTTCGACCAATCCTCGTACTTCCCTGAGTGGACTTTTCTACGCTAATCTCCTTTGACTTTCATGCAGATCGAATTCATCGTGGGAAAGAAGAGGTTGTTTAGGTTCAGCGAATTAGAAGTAAAATTTTGGTAACGCGCTGATCGAAAAATATTTATTTCAAATCTCTTAAGTCGATTGTTAGGTGGCATTTGGTTGGGTAGAATCCCTTAGAATTGGTGGGAATTAGAATCCAATTCCACAACTTTTTCATGTTTAGTTTAAGTTTTTCAAGGGAATTGAAATCTTTGATGGAATTCAATTCCATTAAATAAGGGAAAGTGAATTCCATCAAAAAATGGATGGAATTCCATCAAATAAGGGAAAGTGAATTCCATCAATTCCATCAAATAAGGGAAAGTGAATTCAATTCCCTTGTTGGATGAAATTGAAATTTGACCATACTACCCTCATCAATCCTTTGGTAACTTATTCATATATTGAATACAAATATTTTTTTTATTATTTTGGGTAGGGTCGGGTTTCTAATTCATATATTCGGGTCGGGTGAAACTTTAATTTGGTCGGATCGGGTTTTTTTAAGTGTGATATTCGGGTCAGGTTCGGGTTTAGGGTGAAAAAACCGTATCGACCCGAAAATATATATAATTCGGGTCGGGTCGGATTAAGTCACTATTTTTATTAAATAAAAATATTTTTTTATTATTTCGGGTCGGGTCGGATTTCTAATTCATATATTCGGGTCGGGTCGGATGAAACTTTATTTTTTTCGGATCGGGTCGGGTTTTTTAAGTGTAGTATTCGGGTCGGGTCGGGTTTTTTAAAGTGTGCTATTCGGGTCGGGTTTGAGTTTATGGTGAAAAAAACCGGACCGACCCGAAAAAATATATAATTTTACCTTATATATTTAGGAATAATTACAATAATATCGTTCTATATATAATTTTTTTCAATTAAATCAATATTTTTATTGAATAAAAATAATTTTTTTATTATTTTGAGTCGGGTCGAGTCGAGTTTCTAATTCATATATTGAATAAAAATAGTTTTTGGTATATTTTTTGGTAATTAATTAACATACTCCGATTGGAGTGTATCAAAATATTGCTCTATCTTTTGATAACTTATTAACATATTTTAATTACGATGATTTTAACTTATAATGTTTATTAGCGTGATTTTTATAATTTATTAAAATGAATAATCAATCAATAAAATAAAATATTCTAATTTTTTTAATTTTTTATAATATATTACTACATGTAAATTATAAAATAAATTAAAATAAAATAAAAAAATAAGAAGGATAATTCTGTCATTTTTTATTATTAAAATCAAATTCATCCGACATATCTGCGAACTAAATCGAATATAAAATTAAATTCTAATTTCATTTCCTGCAAATCAAACAAAATATAAAATTGAATTTTAATTTCTACATATTCTAATTCCTTGACAGATTTAAATTACCTCAAAAACATTACAGCGAACCAAACGCCACGATGATTAATCCCACGTTTGATTCCTCTCCCACTGAATCTGCTCTCTTTCTCCTCAACATTTCCCCCTTAATGATCGAGTTGTAAAGCGTTTCCGGTTTTGATCTTTATAAATAGGAGTTTGTTTTCTTGAATTCGTTTTATTAGAGAGGAAAAAAACGAGGGTGGCGAAGTCTCGGGTATGGCAACCATGCAAGAAGAAGAGGTGCTTGATTAATTGCAAGCTTTAGGAGAAACAGAGAAAAAAGGTGTTTTTTCTTATTAGAAAAAGAAATTTAAGAGAAATAAAAGAAAGGAATATCGGAGAAGGAGATGGCGAATCGCACGAGTGCATCGAGCAAGACACGCGTGGGGAAGTACGAACTAGGGAGGACGCTGGGAGAGGGATCATTTGCGAAGGTGAAATTTGCGAGTAATATCGAGACGGGGGAGAATGTAGCAATCAAGATTGTTGATAAAGAGAGAGTTATGAAGCACAAGATGATCGGCCAGGTACCTTTTTTTTCAAAAAAAAAAAAACTCTTGTGCGGAACATTACTACTCTAATTGACTCGATTTGATTCGTGGATTTTTTTCTTTATACGGAATCTTAATTTTATGTTGATTTGAATTCTTTTTTGCAATGTTTAACTGTTTGGTTGGTTTCTTGTACTAATTACTGATACTAAATTACTTGGATGATTTTTCTGTTCCTAGGTCAGATTAATTGCTTTAGCTTTGGATTGATCAGGATACTAAACATGATTTGACTTTGTGATTTCATTTTTTGACAGTTGATTATTTTTATTTATTTTGATTTGACTATTCAAACAAGAATTGGGAGAATGAGATGATTTAGTGATATGTTCAGGATTTAGCAGACAAATGGGTGTCGAAAAATACGAGTCAAATCTAATTTGTCAACAAGAAATGATCTTCATAGTTTTTCATTGACCAACTTTGGTCCCGTAAAACTATTTTAGAATAAAAAAGATGATCCTGTGTTTTAAAATCTGCAATTTTTAGATATTTCTGGGGATTAACTTGTAAAAGAAGGTACAGTTTCAACTTATAAGTCAATGAAAGATGGGTGGTATTTTCTACAGTGTTCCAAGCTCCAGGTTTTGAAATTATACATGTAAAAAATTATTTTTGAATTGTTATACACCCCTTGATTTTTCTCCTTGCTCAGTGTGACACTTGGATGGAAATCTTTTCCTTTCCCCCCTCTGAATCTCATTTCTGTTTTTCCTTGCATGTGCTAAATTGTTCCTTTTTCTTTGTTGTTTGCAGATTAAACGTGAAATCTCAACGATGAAACTCATTAGACACCCAAATGTCATCCGTATGTATGAGGTTTGTTACAAAGCTTTTCTATGGGTATCATAACCTAGTTGTTTAATTTATCTCATGCATTTCTTCCTTGTATCTTGTATTTGCTCACTTTTGGATCTCGACTTTTTGTAAGAAGTGGACTCTACTTGGCTTTGTAACTAATATAAGTATGCTATGTCTATACTTCTTGTTAACTTCTAGCAATGCTCTTGGTGTAGGTGATGGCTAGCAAGACAAAGATATACATTGTCTTGGAATTCGTAACTGGTGGTGAACTTTTTGACAAAATTGCAAGATCATGAATGTATAGTTTTATGTTTTACTTTGGGAAAAGTAAAAGTGCAACTAGAAATAAAATCTCAGTCGTTCATCAGCATTTGAATACCATATAGTAATCTGGCATTGTGTCCTGCTTATCTTCTTGTGCCAGGCTAGTAGAGGGAGGTTTAAGGAAGATGAGGCTAGAAAGTACTTTCAACAGCTTATTAATGCTGTGGATTATTGCCATAGCAGAGGTGTTTGCCATCGAGACCTGAAGGTGTGGGATATTTTTTATGCTCATTGCCCCATTGTCTAAAACAGTTAAATGTGTTATACAGCAGAACTGTGCTTTGTAATTTACAGCCAGAGAATTTGCTGCTGGATGCTAATGGAGTTCTTAAAGTTTCAGACTTTGGTTTGAGTGCTTTACCTCAGCAAGTTGGAGTGAGTGTGCTAGTTTATGTCTTATGATCTCTCTCTCCTCAATGATAATATTCTGCCAAGATTTTATATTCATTGTGAAGTACTTTTATGGCTGCTTGCTCTTTGTTGTATTATACTACAGTCTACCCCTTTGCGTGTGTTATTTTTTTCTTGTTTGACCGCTAGACATTTGTGGTCAGCAAAAGAAGATGACAGACCCCAAAAGTGCATTATAGTTGGGTTTTCCCTTGCCTACCACATTGGTGGATGGCTATTTATCATGCAACTTTTTGTAATACACTGATAAGGCAATTCAAAACTATCTTATCCTTTTCATATAGGACGATGGGTTACTTCACACAACGTGCGGAACACCAAATTATGTTGCTCCAGAGGTATATCTGCAATTTTTTTTTATTATTATTTTTTTTGCAAACAAAATTCTGTTTCTTCATGCTCCATTACCTTTTCTTTATTGTTTTTTTCTATCACTCTTTAGGTGATCAACGATAAAGGCTATGATGGAGCTAAGGCTGATCTTTGGTCATGTGGTGTGATACTCTTTGTCTTAATGGCTGGCTACTTGCCTTTTGATGACCCCAATTTAATGGGTTTATACAAGAAGGTGGTTGTTCTCTCGATTTCTTTCAAAGTTTTTCTTTTACTTCAAAGTAAACAATTTTGCTAAACTATTATGTCTTATAAAATCACCATTGGCATAAATTAATTGAAGAATCATTCTGGAAATGATCAATTTCTCTTGGTAAATATTTATCTGGACTCTATATTCCTATTGTTAGCCGGTGTCCATCAATATTATTACTTCTAAAGAATAAAATGATTTTTTAAAGAAATATAAATTGAAATGTTGAAAGTCTGATCTGTGGTAGTTGGCTTGGCAAACCATCACTTCTACATGGAGGTATTTTTAACTCATAACCAGGTAGGACAATACCTTCGAAACATCAATAAGAAAAGTTCATGTGCATACAAATAAGCTCAAAAAAAACATATATCTGCCTTTTTTGTATCTGTGCTCAACATGCTGTCATGTTGTTGATCAACCATCTTGCACTTGATTAATGATTTTGTCTTCTGCGTTTAAAATGGTTTCTTTTAATGAGTTTATTTTGTGGCTGCAGATATTTAAGGCCGACTTCAGTTGTCCTTTATGGTTCTCCTCAAGTGCAAAGAAATTAATCAAGAAAATTCTAGACCCTAATCCATTGACCGTAAGTTCGTTTCTCTTGCCCTTTGCCCATTCTTTCTTTCTCCTTTTTCCACTTTTCCACTTTTTTGTGTGTGTGTTCTGGTGGTATTTCTTAATTCGATTTGCGCCTAAGGTTGCTAGCCTTGATGATCTATTTAATTTTGTTTTTGGATGTGATTTTCACTCCTTGTTACTTGTGATTGAACCAGAGGATAACTATTTCTGAGATTATTGAGAATGATTGGTTTAAGAAAGGATATATGCCACCTATGTTCGAGCAAGCTGATGTTAGTCTTGATGATGTAGATGCCATTTTCAATGAATCAGGGGTAAGAGTTGTGTTTTTGCACATATCTGACATGTTTGCGGTGTTGATGCAATGATTGAGGATAAGAGAGTTTACATGATTTTTGTTGCAGGATTCTCAAAACCTTGTAGTCGAACGACGTGAAGAATGGTCTTCTGTACCTGCTACTATGAATGCATTTGAACTTATCTCAACATCTCAGGGCCTCAACCTCGGTAGTCTGTTTGAGAAGCAAATGGTATGTTAGCTAGTTATTGTTACTTAGCATGTGATATATTAAGCATAAGATGGAAATAGGACCCTCGAGAATCTCACATTTTGATTCATCCAGTGAAGTGAAAGATACATCAGATAATTTTTTTGAAACATAACATTGATAATTCACCTGTATAAATTGTTTTCACCGTTTTGAAGCATGTAATTCATAATTCACCTGTTATATACCATCTTATAGTGGTCCTTTTTTGCAGAAAATGAAATTTTAGGGCTAGATGCAGCATAGTTGAATATTCATACAAAAAAACTGCCAAATCTACTAGCCTATGTTTCATTCTTTTCTAGTCTTGGGATCTCATGCGTTAACTCGTGAAATGCATATCCTTGTCAATTAAAGTGGTGGCAGTTTCCTCCGACTACAGGGACTTGTTAAACAGGAAACAAGGTTTACGTCAAAATGTCCTGCTAATGAGATAATCTCGAAAATAGAAGCAGCTGCGATGCCCATGGGTTTTGGTGTGAAGAAAAATAACTACAAGGTATAATCTCTTCGTATCCTCTTCATTTTGACTACTCTTTATCTTCTCAAGAACCTTGATGGATCAATTTGCAATTAACCTTATCATGATATTTTATCATTTATTAGTGGCTCTATCACCTGCTCAGTGAAGCACTGATGCTATATTTGATGGACGCTGATTGAACAAATTTCAGTTTTTGTTGGTGCTTGTCACTAGGGGTGAGAATTTGATCAAGTCGAGTTCGAGTTAGTCAAGTTAACGAGTCCTATTTTATAACTCAAATTTTATTTGAAATTTTTTCGAGTCGAGTTGTTCGAGTTTTTGTTTAAATTTAATTTTAAATATTTATAATGTTATGGTAATGATTGATTACAATTTAAATAGCTTTCTATAACTCTATACGATATACATATATATATTATTTCATATTTTTTCATATGCGATATACTTATCTCAAGCAGAGTTGAGAAATTCAACTTGAACTTGAAAAACAATCACTAATTACTAAAAATCTCGAGTTATTTGAGTCATATTTTATAACTCAAACTTTATTTGAATTTTTTTTGAGTCGAGTTGAGTTTATGAAATCACGAGTCGAGTTTTTAAGGGTCGAGCCGATTTTTTTTTTTTTGCTTGTCACCAACTTAATTTGGTAAAGATTGTCTTGGCATCGAGTTGTTTCTAATAGAATAGAAGTGTTGCATATGTTGTGCATTAAGCACTTGAAAATTCCATTTCTTTGGGTGGTGTTGGATGAAATAGAGAGATTCATATGTATCTGAATTGAGATGATGTGTAGCCACTTTAGAACTTTGACTATAAAACCAGTAATCAAATGTTAATCAAATTCTCATTATGATGAATTCCCTTCTTTTACCCCATCTCAGATGAAGCTTCTGGGAGAAAAAACTGGACGCAAGGGCCATTTGGCTGTTACAACAGAGGTACCCCTGTTTCGATCTCAGGCTTTGCTTGGTTGAGTGGAAAAG